GGCAATTTTAAAAACGAATTAGTAAAATAAAAATAAATTTAATTCTTAATTAAGATTTGCTGTTTAAATTAAAGTTTCATGATATCAAATTCACTTTCTCTGTTGGAAATTAGTCAGAAAAACTTTCAAAAAGGCTCACGTAAAGCCTACGTTACGTAAAATGATTAAGTAAAATCACATAACATTAAGTACTATGTTCCGTTCGCTCTTTCTCGATGTAAGTTAAAGATGGAAGTCGATGGACAGGTAAGAGAGAAGCTGATGCAAGATGAAGGAGGGATTAAACTGAGAAAGTAAATTTTTTGATAGTTCTTCTTTTTATAGTTAATCATATCAAGTTTAATTTCAACCAAGGAAATGAATCAATCGTGTTTTCATTCCATTACTGCTCACATTTCAGGCTTTGAATCAGAACAGTCCGAGATAGAGGCAAAAACGTTCTTTACCACACACCTGAGCATGAAAAAGAACCACAATTTAGGGTTAGGGTTAGACGCTTGTAATTAAGCGTCTATTGATTACAACCCAAATCATCAGAGGCTCATTTTTCACATTAAACTACACGATACGTCATTGGACCTGATGTAAGTCTAATGCTGTGTGTGAGAACAGGCATCTAGACAAAAAATTGCAAGTCTCTTTTACGAGCAAGCAATCAATGTCCTTGATGCCACTCTACATCAAGGATGAACCAATCAATAGCCACGATAGTAAGTCTCACAGGCAGAAACACATGACTCATAGGCTCGATTTACAAAAAAAATACAAGAACAGAAAAACTTTTTAATAAAAGGGTCAAAAGACTTTGCTCCCTCAAGTTTTACCCCTCCTTATCTTGCATCGACCCCCCTCTGACCTATTCAACGACTCCCACTCTTAATTTACATCAACAAAGGCTGACGAAATGTAAAACTCAATGTAATGTGTTTTTAAGTAATCATTTCACGTATTGCAAGCATTACGTACGCAATTGCAGGAAGTCAAATGGCTGGTCTCATTAAAGAAAAGGAATTTGAAAATCTGAATGTCCTATTTATCAGTATACTTAGCTTTTTCTTCGTTGTCACTAGCCTCTTGCTTCTTTAATTGTGTCCTGGTTCCTTCAAGCTTCATCAATCTCACTTTCACTTCAATTTTACAGCTTCTTGAATTTAATTTTCTTAACTTTCAATGTTCACTCAGAAAATTTTTCATTTTTTTCTTCACTTTTAATTTTTTCATCACTTTTGGCTTATTTTCACTGTTGCTTCCATTTTAGCACTTCACTATCACTTTTATCTTGAACTCCACTTCTTTTTAAGCATTAATAATGTCAAGTTCCAATTTATTTGCACCGATTTGCAACAAAATTTAAAAACACGTCTTTAAAGAATTAAACTGAAGAAAATTGTGAGAAAATTGAAAGTCAAAGGTTGCTGAGAAATTTGATCTTTTTTGACTGATTGTGATTTCACATTTTTTGGGTTAATTAAGGGTGTATTCAGCTCGAAAATTATCAAAAATATATAGTTTTAATTCAAAGTTTTAAAAGCTTTTTATTTAGGTTTTTAAATCAAATTTAAATTCTATTTGATTTGATTGTCAAATTGATTCTTTTGACAATAATTTCCGTTTGAAATTCAATTCTTTTTGGTTTTAGAACAATTCTTAAAGTACGATTTTAACTGGTCTAGCAATCTACTGCGATTTTTTGAGACAATATTGTTGGAAATTGAAAAGTTACGTTCAGCTCTTGTAGATGTTTGTGGATTCCAGAAATATTAATTTCCAGCACGTTTTTTTATTTTGGAAAAATTACTTTAATCCAATGTGAATTAAGTTTATTATTTTATGGACATCATACATTTAAAAAATATTTTTAAATACTTTTTCTCTTCGTTTTTCATAAATATATGTTTTTGATTTAAAAAACATCAAATTTGGTGTCCATCAAGTAGCACGGTTAGGCTAGATAAAAATATTTCGTTTATTTTATTTGATTAAGAAACATTTGCACAAATTACTGACCAAGTTTGAACAATTTTCGTTAAGCCTTGTCAGATTTACAGTCAAAAGTGTTAAAAGTAAAAAAATCGGCCCTAGCTCCGTTTTCAGATGCTCATATCTCAGAACTGGCAATTTCACATAATTTAAAAAAGTTATTTTTCTGCTTTCACAAAATAGCACAAAAAACCTATATATAGTCCATCACTCAATTCGTTAGGTCACCGTTCTACTTGATGGACACTCAAATTTGAGTTTAATATTTCAACTCTTAAATTCCTTAACGTATGTTTTCATTATTATAATTATTTTCTTTAAATTGTAGTTTTTTTCATGGAAAATAAAAAATAAAAAAAAAAACTAATTTGAATTCCCGGGAATATTCCCGATTTTTGAACCCCTAGTTTGATCAAATCTGCTTAAGTTCGAATCTTACGAAAAATCATCAAACAAAAAAAGAATTTTTTGCGTCATAAAAAATTTTGTTCTAAATTTGGCATTTGCCATATACTTCATATACTTTCTGCTAGGGTTACTTCTATCTAAGAATTTTGTCTTAGGTTAGGTTTTATTTAGATAAAGTATTCAGCATTCAATGTCTAATGCAAACTTAGTTCTAATGTAGACAAAGTTTTCAGGGTTCAATGAACGAAGAAAAATCAGTTCTAACCTATATTATAAGAAATAAATATTGGTCATTAAAAACCTTCCCTTCAAGGATCTTCAAGAGTAATACCTGACTCAGAATCTCTGGTTCCACAAATGGCTCAGTGAGTCAGTAAATTGAATGTTTATAATAAAGATTTATTCTAATTATTTATTAATAACGCAAATTCCATCAAATTTCAATATTCATTCATAAATTTTTATGTCTATCATTATAACAATGAATATTCATCTTCCTTCCTCACCACTCCCATCCAATGTAATGCGTTTAATTAAATTCCTTTTGATGTAAACATCCACAACCATAGCCCAAGAAGTAAAAATCTTATTTTTCATGACAACGCAAAACGTGATCAACTTTTGCTCACGCAAATTCTTCATGCCACACACAAAAAAATTAGCTCATCTTAGATGGAATGAGGCAAGAGTCAACAATGTCGGAAGTGATGCTAAAGCCCAAAAAAATATTTTATTCAATTAATCTTGCGATTTTTTTTGATGTCATTCTCACAAATTTATTATCCAAATAACAATGATTGCTAATTTCATAATTTAATTATTCTACCGGATGACAGACTGTGGTTTATTTAAATTAACTTTCTTCAGAGACTGCGCTTTTCTTTGGAATTTTAATTTGGGTACGGGTATGAATGAGATGAAAATGATGATGACTCATTAATATCGTAAAGAGTGGTGACGAATTGCTGACTTATATTTTGTTTTTGGTTGAGGTGTGCGATAAATTATAGCTTGGAATTAATTTTTATACTTAACAGCTAGCGTGTGTTTAAGGTCATTGGCATTCAGTTCCCAGAATGATTGAAAGTGAAGGATTAAGTCGTGTACTTATGATATTCAGTAACCGGTAAAATGGCATCAGTGGCCTAAATGGTAAAGCCAAAGGTCCTGGGTTCAATCCTAGGCCATGTCTAAAATATCGACGTATTCAGCTAAAGTAAGTACTTCCATTGCTTTTCCATGAAAATTAGATCTATTTTAGGAATTATTTAACATGATTTTTTCAGATGAAAAATTTTGATATCAAAGAATATTTGAAGTTGCCTTTTAAAGGAAAAGAGAAGCGCCGAAACCATTTAACGGTTTCAAAATTTTTAACAGTCAATAAATATTTGAAAATTTTCCCGCTAAAAGTTTCACTACGAAAACATAAGTTATAGTATAATTACATGATTTGTTCCAATGAATTTCCTTATAGAAAAAGTTTATCGTTTAACAGTTTTTTGAGATTCAAATTTTCTAACCGTCAGTAATTTTTTGAAAGCTTCCCGCCAAAGGATACACAAAAAATCATTAATTATAGCATATTTAACAATTAAATGTCTTTAATTCTCATATATAAATTGTTTATCATTTACAAATTACAGGCAGTTGAAAAATGCTAATTAACAAATAACGTATTTTTTCATTTTTGAATTTCTAATATTCGAATATATTCGAATATTTTTTTGTTCATATTCGAATATATTCGAATATTTGCCCAACCCTAAATGTGCATAGCTTGCAATTGGTTCGGATCCCACTATAAGGGTAGGTCTAAAGGGTACGGTACTATAGATTCTTTACAATTTGATTAGCTGTGCCTCCAGCTGAAAGGCTGGGCCCTTCACACATTATTATAAGTGAAATTCCACTCGATCTCTTTGACTAATAAAGAATCAAGTAGCCTGATGACTTATTAAAGTCAGGACTACTTATGTGGGGAGCTTCAAAAGCTACATGGTGAAGAAAAGTGATGAAAAAATGTCAGCTTAATGTGCCAAATTGTTCAAAGTAGGTTATAGAACCAGCAACAGAGTCAAATGTAAGGCCTAAGCTCCACAAAGGAACATGGTTACAGTACGTAAGTAAGTACTTAAAAGAGAGGCTTGGCATTATTGTTTGTGTATGGAAGGAAAAATTGTAATAAAATTTAATCCTGTCTAGATCTCCTGTGAATGAACTCGACAGAGAAAGGGTTATCTCTTTAGAGCAGTGTTGTCCAAACTGTGTGCCGTGAAAAAAATATTCAAAAACGATGGACATGTCTCAAAAAAGTTTGGAAAACACTCCTTTAGAGGATATAGGTTTGGCTCACAGTATTAAAGATATTATTGCACTTTCATATCTAACTAGTCATCATAAATAATTCACATCTTATCAACACATTCTATTTTAAAGTCGATTAAATCTCAATCGCAATATAAATTACTAAAATTAACAACTTACCGAAAAAGGCAAAATCCAAGATAAATAATGTTAAGCACTTACTATTAATAACTTTTTCCACCAGCAGCTTAAATCACCAACAAATCACAAAACGATAAGATAATTAATATAAAACAACTTTATATGCCTACTTAAATTTTATCACAAATGATTTATTGAATTTTCTACGCAGTCTTTGATCAAAAATAATTTTAAGTTTTCTTGGTTCGAGAATTTAAGACATGTTGTTGTTGATCCATCCAATTTGAGCTGATACACGTTCGAAACCAGCTGGGAAGTTCATTTCACATCCAGCGCTTGATCCGAAACTTGTGATACCTACTTGTAAGCGTGCTCCAGCATTGTTAACAGACAAAACTCCACCTGAATCTCCTTGGCATGTTCCACGTCCTCCCATTGTGTCAATGCAAATGACTGCATGATTAACAACAGTTGTTCCAAATGTGGCAGCACATACAGCATTTGAAATAATTCTGTTTGTGACAACACGTAAGACAGGTGAGGATCCAGCACCATCAGCAACACGTCCCCAACCAGTTGATTGACCAATAACATCTTCGAATGTTCCAGCATTAGCTTGAGCCAATGCAATTGGTGCAACAAAGTTAGTCCATGTTAAGGCAGATGGAAGAATCATTGTGGCAATATCATTGTTCAAGTTCTGTGAGTTGTAATTAGCATGAATACGGTAAGCTGCAGATTGAACTGTACGTCTTTGTTGAGATGGTTCAATGACATTCATGTTGTGTGCTCCAGTGATGACTGTTGTACTTTGTGAGTTGATTGGACAATGAGCAGCAGTAAGAATAACTGTTGGACTGATGACTGATCCACCGCACATTGTTGCTAAAATGACTCTCTGATGAATTTGAGCGACTTGGTATGGATGAGTATGTGGTGTTGCTTCATGTCCACCTACAATGCGTCTTGAACGGGAAACTTTTGGGTAGAGTTGAGCGAAGACTGTCTCATCCCAGAAGCCTGGAAGTTCTGTTGCTGGAACAACATTAGCCCAGTCAATTGGTTGCCATTCAGGTCCGTCAAAGTTTTCGACAGCTGATGCTGCAGCGATTGCAAAAATTGTCAAGATGAGGAGCTTCATTGCTGGTTCCTTAGGTTTGAATCTAGCTGAATGAAAATACAAACTGGATTGACTTGAAAATTGCTGAGATATTTATATGAAAATTTCCAGATAAGATTAATTATTTTATCAAAACTGCTTTCGGTTTTTCCAATTGACGAAAATAGTAAGTTGTCGAGTGTCGAGCTTTGGCTAGGCTGTAAATCAATTGAATGTAATAATCAAAGAGCTGATTGAGATTTGAAGAAGTTTAATCTTTTGATATTATTCCTTAAAAAACCCAAAAAGTCATGATTTGAAGTTAAAGATGCATAAGGTACTGTACTCGTGTCTTAGCATCAGGATCTTAGTGTCCAGAGCTACTAAGTGGTTAGGATTCTTCTATAAACTGTAAATACAACGTGTATGATTCTATTACCAAACATAACCTCCAAAATCCAAAAATTATGCTTCACCAATATTCACCATAAAATGTCAACCTCATCACAGCATGATGTTCCTCATAAAAATATCAAAAAAATGCTTAAAAAAGCATAAAGATGGTAAACTTCAATGTAATACCAGAGTGACGTGATTACAATCAAAAAATCTTTCGAGTGTCAAGCTATTGAAATTGATGCTTCAATTTCACATCATCATGAAGCCAAGGTCGTGCTCATAAGACTTGTTTATTTTCTAGATGAAAACGTAAGCATTCAAGAAGAAGCTGCAGATGAGAAGAAACTCAATCGAATTAGGAAAATATTGTCGAGATTTGAGATGAAAAATTTAATTTTGTCGACATTGAAAACCTTTTCGAGTGGCTTTTTCGAGAAAAAAAAAGTTTGAAATTAAATGAATTGGATGTGAAGTTCTGAGATTTTTGTCTCGAAGTCTGAGTTCAAGGAACAGATGTAATGTGAATTATTTTGAAGTTTTAGATCTTGTTTGATTTAAATGACATTTATTTTGTGACAAAAAGCTATATTTTAATCAGATTGTAAGCTAGTGGAGGAGCTATTGGGCAAGACTTAAGCAGAACAAGTTTTGGGAATAAAGTTTAAGTGCTGCATAGTCAAAAGGTGTTGAAGATCCTATTAATAGTTTTCAAGAATATATTTGTGAAAAAAGATCACGTGGACGTCCCAAGAACTCATGGAAAGAAGCTGTTGACATAGTCAAAAGGGTAGAAAATTGAGGATATAGGTTCAGTGAAAAGTAGGTTCTAGGACAGTGCTTCTCAAACTATACTTACCAAAACTTGCCAAAACTATTAACACAGAATTAGAACGATTAGAACTTAAATTCTGCAATATCGTGACAAAATCACTGAAGTTAACAGCCTAGAAGTTTGACGTTTGTAAGGAACCTTGCTTAGATCTTCGGTAAACACGAAAAACCGTCAACCACAAGCTCTGATCTTGTGTGAACCTAGCTTGATGTTAAAAATTCAAAAAAACACGCTACAATTTTCAATAAAATAATATTTTTTATTCACATCAAATTACATTTGAATATTCATCACTAAATTTAGTAGCAAAATTGTGTTTAGTAAGTATAAATCCCTTATTACATCAAATACATATTTTTAATAGATACAAATATTTTCATGTATAAAATACTTATTTAATGAATAGAAATTGAGCATAAGGAGAATTAAATTTTATTGTTTTAAACAATTCATCATTTTTATGCTGTTGCTAGGGTTTCTGAAAAACGGCATTTTTGAAAACGGCCGTTTTCCGTTTTTTATTTTCAAAAACGGCCGTTAACGGGCCGTTTTAAGGTTTTTAAATAACCAAATATAAATGAAATATTCCTCAAAAGATAAAGAATTGATGTTCTATATAGATAATATGTAGAACGTCTTAAGTTCTATTTATATTTATTATAACTATTTATCATTTTATTATAATAAAACTTAAGAAATACAAGAGCATTTAGTTATGCATCAGCCAGCCTTGAACGAATATTTGTGCAAAAATTATTGCAGATTGAAAATATTCGCTCTACATCTGTAGATGTCGGCTTAATACACAACAAAGCATCATAAAGTTTTTGAAGATTTTCTGATCGATTTCCTGTATTTTTGAAAAAATTACAAATTCATCTTTCATCCATTTGAATTTTCGAGTATTTTCTTGAGGTTGGCTTTCATTTTTCAGTACGATTTGATATTGTTCAGCCAGTGACACATTTTGAGGGCTTTCTGTTTGGGAATTCGAATCTGAGACAATTTTTCAGCAAAGTCCAAGCAAAGGGGTTTAAACTAGACTTTTTTTCTGATTCTAATATACTACTTGAAATGAGATTTTCAAACTTTCCAGGCTAATCCATAATAATAAATCTCTTTAACTGTTTTTGAGAATAAGTTTTAAAGGAAATAAACAAAATTTTTTTTAAAAATTACATTGTATGAACTATGAGAAAACGGAAAAACGGAATGAAAAACGGCCGTTTTCCGTTTTCAATTTTTGTGCCGTTAACGGCCGTTTTCCGTTTTTCGTTAACGGCTTCAGAAACCCTAGCTGTTGCCTTACATTCTATTAAATATCAACCGATTAATCATGAAAAATGTTTTTGATATTTTAACATACGCTGTGCCTAAATTCCTTTGCTTTTTTATTTGTTTGGGTTTGGAGGGAGTCACTGCTAGTTGTGTTTTTTGAGATTCCGATGAAACTTGAGATTTAAGAGCTATTATAGGAGCTTCATCAGCTTATGAAGGACCAATTTAGGTTAACCAAGTCTGAAATCCTACATAATATCTGGAACAGATCCCACAAAATCACAAATAACCCCTTGAACCTCCCAACAATCACTCTTAACCCAACAACCAACCAACAATCCTCACAAGGGATCACAAGACCATCAATTCTTAGGCATGATAATAAATAACATAAGATTGTTTACGCCGAGAATCACTTGAAAGTTTTCTATACGATAACTTTATTATTTAATGCTTCACAATTTTTTTTAATGAAAAATTTTCTTCCCGCCTTATTTTATTCTTTACTGTTATTTATTCCTTTATTTTCCATTTAAGTGCCTTCTTTGTATTTCTCACAATAAAGATGAGACTTATTTTTTTAATAGAGCGAGAAAGTGAAGATGAAAAGAAGCCATTTAGCATTTAATAAAGCTAATTTTATGTGCGAGTAGGTGCTTGAAACTCTAAACTGATCATAAACTTGAAAGAATTCTTCTATTTGCTTGATGTGGATTTTTAATGGAAATTGTTGTTTTTAAGGTGTAGCTTGTGATTTTTTTGCAAGGGATGGTAACTCTTTGAAGGAAAAAAACATTATTACATCAAAATTGCTGCCTCTAATGAAGAGGGGTTGGTGAGTTCCTGAAAACTGTAGCTAAGATTTAATTCTTGAAGGATTAGTTTCAATAATTTTCTATCAACTGCTATCGAGGAGGGGGGGGGGGGGGGGAGGGGGGGATACTTAAGAACATAACAACATCAAATAAGCAAAGAAACCCAGAACTAGCGCCTTAAATAACTGAATACTTGTGCATGAACTCTCCTAACTGGAGTAAAGTCAAGGGGAACACAACATGATGGAGAAACTTTCACTAATCTTCTAATCACAATGGGAAATTTCTTACCTGATTGACAGCATTTCCTTTCAAAATGCTGAACGTCAATGATTGAAAACTGATGAGAAATTTCCAATCAAAACCGTTTCCCAACATGTTGTTACCCCCTTACTGAAATCTAAAAAAATATTGACCACATCCGGCATTGCCAACCAATCTTTTCCTTATTATCCTACATTGTTCATCATAATTTCATATTAAAGCACATCAATTTGTGGCACCGGGCAGTATCAATAAGCTACAAAAAAATACAATTTATTCTATAATAACCATCTATTCTCTACAAACCACATAGCAGTAGCCTTAAGTAACTTATATGAGAAAAGAAAAAAAAAATTAAATAACCTTAATATAAATTAAATAACATAAAGAGAAGTTACTTTAAAGCATTTCAGTATGAGAAAGGGACGAAAATATGCAGAACCAAAAGAAGTATAAATGTACATGACACATTTCGTTTCCCTTCCATTTTAATAAAATATTCTTTTTTTTTATCTACACAGACAGAAGTTGAGTATGTAAAGGGAAAAAAGGAAAATAAGCTTTAACAGACTTGTTATATCTTTTTTTTTCTATAAAAAAGGAACCCATGCCACATTTTAAGTCTCTTCATCCTCACATTGCCATACACTTAAAATTGAATCTACAAATATCGCGATAAAAAAAACAATCTTTTAGCCCTTCTTAAATTTCAATAATAGAATACTGATGGTAAGGAAAATGAGAATCCAAACGCCTGTGGATACATATCCGATGTATACATCGGGATTATCTATCGACCATCCGCGCTGCATGATTGCTCGTAATGACTCGGTCGATTTTGTGAGTGGCAAAAAGAGTGCTGGTACCCTCAGTAACGGATGCATGCCTTCAATTGGCCAAATCATGCCGCACAGCAGTACACATGGTAGGAATGATCCTAATGCCATATACGTGGCTGAACGCTCGTTGTCGACCGCACATGAAATTACGAATCCTGAAAATGAAGAGGAATTTTTTAAAGATTTGATTCTTAGCTTTAAAGGTATTGCCAAGTATATCAAGCAGGGGTCATAAAACTTTGAGTATGAAGACAGTATGTAAGGATTTAAATTTAAATGGAAGCAAGGAAGACATATCATAACTTACCAAAGCACATGCCGCAAAATCCAGTCTCCAACACGAGCATAATCACCCAAAACAGCTCTCCACGATTCGTCAAATCAAACACTGAAAAGCTGAACGTAAGAACCAATGCTGTTTGGAAAGCCATAACACAAAATTGCGTTATAACATGCGAGAAAAGTATCTCAATGCCAGTCACTCCGGAAACTAAACAACGTTCCAACATTCCTTCATTTCTCTCGATTAACATGGCACCAGATGTTAAAGCAACTGACAAGAAGAAGATTATGCTGAAAAAGGAAAACAAGTTTTTAGTTTCGATTTGTTGAAAAGGAAGAAAAGTTTTTTTATGTTTTTGGTTAAAATAATTAAATAATAAAAAAATTTGGGTTCTTGGTGTGGAAAAATCGATGCTGTAGATTTAAAAAACAGTTTTTATGGATAAACTTGAGATGGAATTAAAGTATGGCTTGCTTATAAGCGGAATTTGTAGTTTTTCGAGATTCCATGGATCAAAGTCTCAGTTGACGTTAAGGCTTGTCAAAGTGTGGAGCAGGGGAAGATTCATTCGGTTAAGATTTAATGCAAGTATGATAATGGGCTGAGAGTTGCTGCAGCATTTTAATCTAGAGCGGTTCCAAGACACAGAAGGTTGAAGATGATGCTCAGAAGCCTATTTCCTGATGGACAACCTCAAAAATCGACACGATCAAAACTTCCAAATGTCAAAGACACAAATAATATCACACTCTAGGAAATTTTATATCCATTGAACCAGATAATATCATGCAATATACATGATATCCCAGCACTAATCACTTAATGACATTTTCCAGAAACTCAAAAATCACTTCCGCATCATCATTAAAATATATTGCCACAAATCAACAGAAATCCTCTTAAAAGTTGCCAATTAATACTTTAATAGCATCAACAGCATCCCAATTAAAATCAACAGTTCCACAATAATCCAACAACCACAATCGATGATAAATGCCTGTAAATAGTGTTTTTAATAACTCACGTTAATTGCACACCAGGCGCTGCAAAATCAGTAAAGTTGGGAATCCGATCGCCATAAATTGGACTATCGAAAAAGATGGGAATTTTGCCGACCAATGGATTTATTTGACAGTCCTTTAACATGCTTTCAATGAAATCAAAATAGGCATATTGAATATCACGATATAGTAGCGTTCCAATTTGCTGATCTGAAAAGAGGATGCGAATTCGTATTTATATGCAAATTTCTCAATTTTACTTATCTAAAATCTCGTATTGAGATTATGGAAATTGCTTACTTGACATGTCCAAATGAACTGATAAGTCAGCATTATCTATGACATAGCTCTCAACATTATGGCCAAAGTCTTGTCTTTCCACAAGAGAATCCGTATAATTGTGAGCAAATAGTATTGTTCCCCATGCATTGCCATGACGGACGACTTCAATTGCCTCCTCTTCATTGCCATAGAATTTCTAGAGAAATTGTAAAATGTTATAATGTGATTCGAGTTGAGAGGTTTTGTGATTATTATGGAAATTTCCATGCTTTGAAATTTCAATAATATCCTCTGGGATTTTATGGTCTGCTGATGATTTGCTTATCGAATGACTAATCTTATTACAATGCATGTGAAACTTGTTACATTGTAAAGATCCAGCCCGAAGCTAATATATCAAGTTTCTCAGTCAGAAAATTAAAACTTACCACATCAATGCTCCGATTCTTCAAGAAATCCAGATACCGACAACTAAGCATTGTATAATTACATCCCTCATATATTGGACATTCCTGTTGATTGAACTGTTTATCTGACAATTCGTTATTTACAACCGCAAGTTTTAAGCCCTCTGGATCATGTCCTACAGCCAAGCAGAAAAGAATTGTTTGAGCTACTGGTAAACCGATGATAAATGCCATGACACTAAAATGAGAAAGTAGATTTTTTTGGGGGTTCAGTATATTTTATATGATTCACGTGCTGAAATAAATACATCATTGTTGTATGAGTAAAGAGAGGATAAGTTTGAGAGATTGTTGAGGTTAGTTTGAACAGTAAGCGCTTGTGGATGTGATAAAGCTCACAAGAGTGGGGTCAAGATGGATAACTCGAAATTATAAAAAAGGTTCTAAAAGAATATCGAGCCTCATATAACATTGATTTGAAGCTAGGTTTCATCTAGGATTGCTTGACGTTAGCTTCAAATTAATATGCATGAACATGAGAACTCAGAAGAAACTTGCTGTATGTGTACAATAAATAGCTAAAGTAAGACAAATATCTCAGTGACTGACTAGCTTAGATTCTCGACTGAGTAGAAGATTTATCCTCTATTGTAGACGAAAGTTCGATTCCCATCACACTCAACTAGTTTCATATTATCATACACATGATCAAGCGAGGTCATTACACACTAAATACAAAATTAAGGAACTATTGATAAAACATTAAGTTCAAACCTATGCCATGCAAAAAGGTCAAAAATCAGTAGCACATCCAACAACATGGGTTAAAAAATGGAAAGGAGAGTCTATAATAATAATAATATTATATGTAGTTCTTGCTACCGCATAAGGGATTATAAGCCATGTCTAGTGTGAATACACACGTTTACATACTCGTCCATACGCACATAATAAATTCACACTCACCCAAAATTTCTCCACATCCATAAAAAGTTTTTCCATACGAGTGCCTTCATGTGATGCAATTTAAAAATTTTCATATGGTCCATACAAGTAGCTTCAGGTTCTTCCTCTGGTGGTAATGGTGGAGCATGTGGTGGTGCTGTTACCATATCAGGACCTCGACTAGACATTGAAATATTGTCACCAAATTCACCAGAAATTTCGCCATGATCTTCATCGTGAGATAAGTCGAGTGCAGGATTCTGGAATTAAATTGAGAGAGAAAATTAAAGTCTAGACTTGCTTCAAATGAATTCCATTGTTTAACTCACAGCCATGCCTGGTAATTGTATGCTATCAATAACCTCCTTAGCTATAGACGATCTTCTCCTCTTGCCACGATTCTGTATTACGGATAGCTTAAGGAAAACTTCCTCCAACGACTCACAATGATATTTCTGTAGCAAATCATCAGGCGACTCCTCTGCCAAGAATTTTCCACCTCTCATGAGACCAATCTTGTGTGCTTGTCGTGTCTCATCGATATAATGTGTCGTTATGATAACCGTTGTTCTACCAAACTTTGTTATTTCTACCAAATAATCCCATATTGCTTGTCGTAAAACAGGATCAACACCCACAGTTGGCCTAAAGTCAAATTCAATAATGCAATAATGAGATGAAAAATAGCAAGCAAATTATTTTGCACATACTCATCCAATATCAATAATTCTGGCTCGTGAATCAGTGCAGCTGCCAAACTCATTCGTCTTTGTTGTCCTCCCGAAAGATTTTTTATGAATCTAATAAATAATAATCAGGTTAGATACATTCTGTAGAGATTTATGAGAGCAAACTTACCGTGATGCATTTGGTAATTGAAGCATTTTTAATAGAAAATCAGTTTTTTCATCGACATCGTCTTTGTTCAAGCCATTAATCCATCCAAAATAGATTAATGTCTCACGAATTGTAAATTCTCCATAAAGTGCAATTTCCTGTGGCATATATCCAATTCTAGGTCCTGGAACTCCACTGCCACGTGATCCTGGTCGACCACCCAGTACCCAGATTTCTCCAGAATTAAGCCTTCTTCTGCCAACAATGCATGACAACAATGTCGTTTTACCACAGCCAGATGCTCCAAGTAAGCCATAACTGAAATTAATGGAAATAAGGATGGATTTAATTTTTTAATTAATTTGTTTTATCGATTGGATTGAAATGAACATCAGAAATTATCGAGTGGATATAATGTTGAGAATGTATCAAAGAGATAAGTCAGTCATGAAATTAACATCAATGTGAATTCGATTGATTAAAAATTAATGGAAAATGATAAGAGGTTGGAGTGATTTGAGGAGATGGCGATGGTATGAAGCGTCTTTGGTTTAGAGCAGCAATTGATGTCTTTTTGTATTGACAAAACAACTTTACAGCCATACAACGACAGGATGTAACATGAAGAGACATCTGAGGACTTTGTTCTAAAGTCTTGAACGAAGAAGCACTCAATTAAATCTAAATGGATGGAAAACTTTATATGCGAGTACGCTCAGTTCTTTGTTTGATCAAAAATACTTGCTATCTGATCCAAAAGATGATGCCTTCCAATTTTAATCGACATAAAATCAAACTTTGATGGGGTTCATTTCCACCTTTCCAAATAATTAACACAAACCACCCCAAACTGAATGTCAATAGTCATTAAATTCAGGTTAAGTATATCAAAAAAGGTAGAACAATGAAGGTAAAATTAACAATTAATTGAAATCGATTGATTAAGTATAATTGACTATAATAGCTTTAATTTAAATGGATAATGAGGACACACTTTAAAAACTTTTCATGATATCGAAGGACTTAATCGATAATCACACATATTAAGCATTACGATGCTTATAATTAATAATTCAATTAAAATCCTTGTGATACTTGATTTTAAAGGTTTTGTTGAACGTAAATTCTCAAATGAATGTCACAATTAATATGACTCAACTGCCTCAAAACCGCATGGATCAAACAATTTTGTCATATTATGATAAATGTGCTCAGCATCTCCTTAATATCTCATTTAAATGAATGAGAATTCTACTCGCTTTATAAAGTCACAAAGCCACATACCTTCTTCTTAATAAAAACCTCTTAACAACAACCACATCGACTTGAAATTCGTTTCCTTTCAACTAAAATTAATTTCCATACTTAATTCATGAACGTTAAGCTGTGAATGCCTAAAGGTTGCAAGAAAATTACAATAATTTTTCGCATATATATGTTGCGTGTGTGTAACATTCTCGACTCATTTTAGCCTCTCCACCTACATTTTACGGCGTAATAAATCATAAAGTTGACAATATTTATCTTTATTATTATTATAAGCATTGTTTAACAAAGTGCGTTGGGTGTAAATCTACAATTCTTTTACACACGTGTAGAAGTTGTGTATTTATCATTTTGCTTGTGAGTTATCTCTTATTTCTTTTAAACGAGGTCTGTGAACTTTGTATGGTTTTGAGGATTTTCTTTTTGTTTTTTGTGGGGTTGGGAGTTGGAAGGGGGATTGTTATGGATCGAGCTGAACTATTGAATGTTGTTTTAATGGGCTATCTTTGTAGAATAAAATTTCGGGCGTTGAATCTTTTGTTAGTCTCTCTCTCTCCAGGTTATTAAGTCTTGCTTGGGCCTTATGAATTATAAAATAGCACTTAAGGGGGTGGAGGACGCTCCATATCAAAATTGTCCGATTCCTTTACAATATTTAATCTAATTGTTTCGAAATATATAAACGAGAATCTAAAGAAATAAATTAATGACCAAGTCAATGTTTGACAAAAGAATTCGAAGATAACAATCCATGACCTAGCTAAACGAATAAATAAGTCATTCCAACTACAATCAGAAAATATTTAACATTTCTGTGAGATACTAGGGTTCGATTCCCACCAGAAGACTAACATCTCGAACTTGCAAATCACAGTGCCTGATAGTCATAACAAGACATTCAAATATGAATCTACTCAACCATCCAATCCACCCATCATCTCCCTAAATAATCATCCACCTTTCGCAAACGAGATATTTGTGTATGTGACTGTGAATTTATGTCTCTTTATGTGATTCTCACTATGAATAATGTACGCTTAATGCTCCGACAATTATTTTACTCGAGATACTTTTGTTTCCTTTTATTTTAGTACGTTAAGTCTAACACTTATTTACTTATGTATATATCATATGAATGTACATATATAGCAACAACATCATCATCATCATCATCATCGTCGTCGTCGTCATAATACATTCATACAAACATTTTCCCTTTACGCTTAAAAGACTTTTTCTTCCTCTTTCTCTACTCGTTTTCTTTTATGAATCCATTATCATGCATATGATGTGCTCTACATGGCTTTTTGTTGAGCCTTTAAATTAATTACGAGAAAATCTCGGCATTATTCATTATGAAGAACTGGCAATGTCGTATAGATGTGTATACACGTTGTAGATGCTCAAGTTGAGTATATGAGGGTGAAATGAACGGGGTTGCTGGCTAAAATACTTTAAAATGCTGAAGATAATTGAATTTTTTCGCTTATGAGTGAGGATGTAGAGAATTATTCGGCTGTGTTGTGCTCAACAGGCGTTTTAGTTATGAAAATTAGGAAGTTTTTGAGCACTTCCTTTATAGTTTCGAGCCAGAGTAGGGTTCAATGTTTGCAGATACAAGATTTTTGAAACTAAAAGCTACTTATTGAACATGTTGGAAACTCCTAAAATTAATTGAAATTCCCTAAAGTCGGAAGCTATCATTCCTTTAAAATTCACAAAATTCCATAAATTTTTAATCTTTTTTTTTCTCATTCTTAAACATTTCCCTTTAACATTCCCGACAACAATTCTGAAATGAAAATTGCGGATGTAGGAATACAAAAAGCTGATAATTACATTAGAACTGTCGTCTTTTTCCTATTCTTCCTTGCCTTTTTAAAAACTCTCATGTATGTAGATTTAAATATACACATCATGATGCGCATTCATTTATTCATTATGTCTATATGTTTCACACATTTTTGTCAGGGGTTTGGGTTTGAAGAATAAAAAGAAAATTCATGTTTTATAATCTTTGTAGAGGTTTTGAGGAGAATGGGAGTTCCTTGTCGATGATTTGGTCCGGTTTTAAAAGTGACTAGTGCAGACATTGCTAATCGAAAGTATGTCTGATCATAGCAAGAAGGATTGCTCAATTCAGAAAGTGCATATCAAGATTATGATCTTTAAGTCGGTTTGTAGGATCCTGTAAGTCTTCCTTGGGTTATATAATCAATAGCATCGTCAGAATGTCATTCAAAATCATTGAAACTTTACATTTCTTCAAAAATTCTAACAAGAAACCCTCTTTATCATAAAAACTACATTCAGATGTGGTCTTTAAAGATCTATAATATTTGCTGAATTTTATTATCATTTAATAGTAAAGCGTCATATGTTATTGTCCCCGACAACATGCTATCTACAAGGATTTTATGAAAATCTACATATTTTAAAGCTAATAATTCAATTAAATTCGTGTAACATGTAAATGAATTAAAATGAGATTTTGAAATTCCCAATGAGTGCGGATGAGAACTAATTTTCGATTTCGAAGGATCTAATTTTCGAACGCGGGAAAAAAAATTTGAATTTGAAATTTCCGTTACAATTATTTGTTTACATTTTGCATTTAAATTACTTCTTGAAAAATAAATTTAATAAAATGGTTATAAAATGCTCTATTAAAAGCTGTAAAGGCAGTAAAATAGCTAAAATACCATAATTTGGATTAACAATAAACACAGTTCATCGAGAAAAGTGGATACAATTCCTTGAATTTCATGACATAGAATTTGACTGTAAAAAAAAATATTTCTTGTGTATCTACACGATTGATAAACTATCAATCGATTATAGTGTCGATAGTGTCGATTAATACAGAAAAGAAACAATTTTGCATCAAAAAACAATTAAAATAAATTTGTTTCTTAACTAAGTCGTTAACGTATTTTTATTTTTCAAAATTTGATATTTTCGATTTTTTTTTTGAATTTTTCGAAATTAACCAAAATTAACTGACTTTTTCTTTGTTCGCACTCATTGGTGAAATTCATTTTGAGACTCTTGAAGGGATGGAAATTTAACATAAATGAATACGAAATTGTTAATGCTGAATTTTATCAAAAAATATAATTCTTTTTTCATTCGGAAAATCATTTTCCGAGAACTCATAATCTTATTAAATCAGCTTTAAACAAAACAGAGGACTTTTAAAATGATGTTGATTTAAAAATTGGTGATTCTTAATGACTTTTTCATGTTACAACATTTGAGAAATTAGAAATCGAGGATTTTTTTCATAAACAAAAATTTTCCATCTTTTTAAAATTTATTTCACATTAATCACCAGACTTAATGAATTCATCAATAATGAATGAAATGTTTTTTTAGAATAGAATTTTGGTTGACGGGTCTTTTCAACCCCTTAACCTTACACTATTCGGATTTAATAATTAATTTATTAACCCTCGTCTTTTAATGATTCAACACTAATGGTGTAGCTCAAATAATCGATTTTATTGAGAGGCACTTCATAGCAAGGGGAAGCAATGATCCTAGATGAGTCTCCAAATTCGATTAATGTACTTAATTGTTTAAGAAGTGAACAAAACTCGATAGGACACTGTAATGCCATGAGCATTGTGTAAACTCTTGTCATATCGACATCATATAAATAATGATTGAGAGATCGGTTTCTAGTAGGAATCGAACTAATACCTTAAAGAATGTTCCGGTATGTAGCCTAGCCACATCAGCCACAGAGGCATAACTCTCGCACAGGCCGATTCGCCTTCATGTGGCTCTGTACCTCAGATTCTACTTTGCTTCAGTACCACAAGCACTATAAAAATTGTACAAAATCTTAAAACCGATTTTATATTTTTTGATTTTGAACAAAACCAAATCCAATTCTAAATTTTAATAAACCATAAAGCTAGTCAAATAAAGGAAGGCAATTAAAATTAATGAAATTTGCTTTTCAACTTTTGTTGTTTGAGTTATAAAATTTTGAAGAATTTTCATGTTTTTCTTGAGAAAAAGTTTCAAAAATTGAGTAATGAGTTGCGCGTTTAAGTGAATTTAGCGGATAAAATTAATGAAATTGAATGTAGAGGCACGGAATTTCTTTATAACCCAACGCTTTCCGTCTTTAAAAATTCTTCTTAATTTTTAATAAAATTTTCATTTATAGAACTTTAAAGTTTTTCTTCGAACCAACATCCCACAGCCTTCGAATACCTTCAAAAATTATTTTCCATGAAAAGGTAGAAAAAAAAACAATTTTTTGACATGAAATAAATTTTCTTCTTCGATTTTGCCAACCTTTTTCAATATTTATCAGCAGTAAGAAGACATTCGACACACTCAGATAGTAAAAAAACTTTTTTTCCATAATTTATTAATTTATTTAAAATTATTGACTTCTGCTATTGGCGGAAACTTTGACGTAAAGTTATTCAAACTTATATTTAATTTTTTTTTTCAAAGGCTTTATGGAAGAATTTTTAATAAGACATCAAGAAAGTTTTGATTAAAAGTTGTAATGATGATGGATGTGACGGTATCGTATTTTATATTCATGAATCATGATGTGATAGAACATCGATGTGCTCATAGATAAAGTTTTCATTATTAATCTCATTGTATCAATTGTATGGAGCCTGCTTATGTAGGATTGCTAGATATTTTTCAAAAAAATAGAGGTTGTGCCTCATGTTGACTAGTTTTTGTAGTTTTTGGGACGAATTAGGATTAAATTTAAATATTAATATTTTGAAAAATGGAAAAAATAGAGGACTGTCCTCTGAAAACCTTAGTAAATGGTCAGCCTATCTTTATGTTGAGACTGTGTGAATATCATGATTCTGATTTTAAATTTGAGTTGATGTTGGCATGTCAAGTTATTCGAAGCAACTCCCTGCTTTACAATTATTACCATTCAAATATTAATTTCACATAACAATACGCGTGCAGTTTCTGTAACGCTTCAAGTCATAATTAAAATTTTTCAACAATATTCTTATTATTTTCCTCTCCTTGAGTGAATTTTAAGCTTTAAGGTTGACTTAGGACGTTGAACACTCAGATGAGAGAAGTTGAACTAAGTTGTCATTTTTTTGAAGTAATTACAGGACTACTATTGGTCCTCGATTTGTGTAGATTTGATTTGAACAGGATTTTACTGGAACAAAACACCTACTCAACTCGAGAACCCCCAGTTTTAGAGACTTTAAATTCCAACTTTAGAATTTACAATTCCCGCTCAAAATTGGAATGCAATTTTTTTTAAATCCTTAAATGTACATCATATCCAATCAACTCCCAAAACAACATTTTTCTTCATATTTATTAAAAAGTTAAATAAAATACGAAGAAAAACAAAAATAAATGAGAGCCACAAGACTCAAAGATTCTTTCTTTGCTCTTCTTATTTCCGAGTCTTTTTCGAAGCTTACTGCAAGGAAACTTTTTCATCTTCATGCTGTACTTTTTATTTTGCTTTGTAAGTCTTCGCTACTGTCAAAAGTTTTAAGACTTCTTTGAAAAAAAAAATTGTAAATCTTTGAAGAACTTTGTATCAATGTTGTGTAAATTTGCAATTTAAAGGTTGCATGGGTGATGGAATCGCCTTATGTATAAATTATGATTTTGATTACGCAATTGAACTATGGAGCTTAAGATTAAGTTGGTTGTGATGGCAGGAAAATTCCTAGGACACAGATAGACAACCTTTATAGTAAAGCAAATCAACCTCCATATTACAACATATCGTACCTTATAAAGTTATCATTCTAGGTACCAAAAAAAAGTGCAAACAAGCATAATTAGAGCAAATAACATTAAACTAACTCAAAAGAAGATCGAGTCTTTGTGAAAAATCATTTCCAGTGTCTTAAATTCTCAGTTCCTTCTAGAAGCAAAACGTCTCAGAATCTCAAAAAAAAACTTTCCGTTCATTAACGAGACAAACAAAAAAAAATTAAAAGCTCAGACATAAAAGTCAACAAGTCACAAAAAGCAGAAAGTTCAAGTTCAATGACGCTTGTAATAGAAATTAATTAATAATTATAGGCACTTGCCGCGTCGACATTCACCTATTCGCTGTTATTAAATACTCTGTAATTTAAGCTTTAATGTTCATATCATAAGCCGTAATTGAATCGCAAAAAGCACATAAAACGCCTTGAAATAAAAAGTGATTTACACTGACTTAATTGCTGTGGTTTGTTTTTGCCAGCAGTGGATATTTTTTTTTCACACTCAATGACCTGTCGCGACTGACTCTTATTTGGTTGTTGTTGTTGTCACCGAAAACATGCTCGATAATTTATGAGTGACTGAAAAAAAAGTGTGTAAAAAATTGTAAAGTCACTTACATCGTTCCCTTCGGTACTGTCATATTCAATCCATCTAATATCACATTGGGATTCTTTTTGGTTCCATAAATTTTGTGTGCACGTCTGACACAAACTGCCTGTTGTCTTCTTGTTGCCACCGTTGACTGTTGTGTTTTTAGAATTTTTCGGCGCGGTTTAAGGTCAATTACGTGAGAATTTATTTCACTTTGCATGGGCGGCAATCCATCTGTTTCAGAGTCCATGATGACTTATGTTGAATTATGCTAGAATGAGAATGTGACAAATTGATGAATAAAAAGAATTTGGAATTTAAATTAAGGAAGTGCTTTTGTGATTTTTTAAAGATTTTCTTATGTGATTCTGTTGCGTAGGTGAAATGATGATTTGTGGACGAGATTGTGACGTAGAAAGACTTTTTGACCAGTCATCATATCAAATTTATTAATTCAACAGCTAGATTAAGACTAATGGGTATCAACGTCTTTTAAACTTGACAGTTCCATCTCAATAAGTGTCAAGATCTAGTTGTGCTTTCTTTGCTAGATAACAACTTGTCACTAATAATTCAGTTACAACTTTATTCGTACTTGACATTCCAGCACAAGCGTCAAGATGTTTGATTTTTAAATGTGGAAAAGAAATCAATTTTCAGTGTCATAGTCAATTCAAATCATCTTATTGACATTATTAAATTGAATTTTCTTATTTTCCAACTTTTTTATTCTCGGAATCAAAGCAATGCTGAATGTTGACAATTTTATATATTTTGACAAACTTTGCGGATGGTAACTGATGAGTCAACGTAATAAGTCATGCTAGTGCAAGGTTCCCGCAGATTATAATCATTAAATAGTCCCATTCAAAGATTATAATCTTTATTTTTAAAAGATTATAATTTTCCGGAGCTTTGGGTTAGTGTGTCTATCCTAAGAGACAAATTTATGATGTAATGGTGTCTTCAGGACATCCCAGCTTCTCTTTGATACTTTACTGTTGACACAATGAGTTAGTAATGGCTTAAAAACCATGAAGTGATGGTCATATTTGCTGAAAACCTTTAACTAATTACTTCATGGCTCTATAGAGGTCTGTGATAGCTCACATCAACTTTTTAGCTGACTTAATCAATATTAAAAATAGAAAACCAACCCCAAAAAATTTTAAGCCACGATTAAATCCAAAATCTTACAACAGATTACACAAAAATTATCGCAGTAGATTTAAATCTTTAAAGAACTGTTGCTCCATTCCTTAACAGAGAATCATTTAATCCCCACTTTTAAGAAATAAATCTTAGAATTTATATCTCTTTATGCTTGAATATTTCCATACATTTAATCTTGAATGCAGCAAAAGTATCCAACAATAAGCATAGGAAGTAACACAACCACACAAAAAGAGATGCTTTTAAGAAGCAGTGATTCTTTTTATTTAAAAAAATACATTTTGATGATTGATGTGATAACGTAAAAGTTGTTATATAGTAAGTAAAGGCATTAAGGATAAGAGAGAAAATTTACATAGTCCTTACACGCGCTCATCGGATTTGCACATAAATAGAAATGTTAGAAGCGAGAAAAAGAAGAAAAAAAAGCGAAAAGATTTTTCATTTTACGCAAATTCTTCCTTGCTTTATTTTTCTAGCCCACCAAGCTCATCTCCTTCTCGTTCGCATTTATATCTGTTTGTGCTTTTCTTACTTTTTTATGAGTAAGAGGAAGTCAAGATTATTATGATAAATTGAGATTTGTTTAAGAATTTTTGGAAATTTGAGCATGACAAGCAGAGCCATAAGAATTTTGAGTTTTGTTGAAGGATATTGTAACAAAAGTTAAAGGACACATCTGAAAATAATAGAACGAGGCTAATGAAGCTCTAAAACAGTGCTATAGAACCTCTGGAGTAGCATGGCTACTGACTCGACTTAGGTATTGATATATCGACAGTTAAAGTCTCTATGGAATTTCCAGTAGCTTCAGAAAACGGCTTGAAAGGAATCAGACCTTGAAAATTGTAATCTCATCCTTATCCTACAAATTCTCTATCAGCAACATCCTCTCGACACTTAATTTATTAAGATAATCTTCATTATCAACAGACAAACTGCATCTGAAAATCTCATTTTCCTAATCAAGTTCACCCAAAAAAAAAAAAAGAAAATCCCATTCGAAAAAGAATTTAATTTCCTCTTCTTACAAGAAACTAAAATTTTCTTTATCTTTGTTTTCTTCCTCCCGACTAGATCGTAATATCTTCATTAAGCTATTCATTCTCATGCACTCATAGAAAAAAAGTAACAAAATGTTTGTAACTTGTATGGAAAATGTTAACAAACAATTCGTTAAAATAGTGTTTACGAACTTATTTGTTAAATTTAACCAAATTATTTGTAAGGTTGAATTGTTAACTATAAAAATTGTTAATTTAACAAACTTTTTGTTAAAATTTTTTTTTACAGAAAAAAATAACAAATTTTCGGTTAATATTAACCAGAAAATTGTTAATTTGGTCACCCATCTTATTTTAAAATGTTTCCGTGGTTGCTTAACTTCTGAATTCCTGTTGATGATCCGCTAGTCCGCTGCTTGTAAACTTTTACTTATAAAATTTGATTCAGAACCAATATAAATAATTCTTTAAAAAATATATCCAAATTTTAAAATTAATTTATGAATAATAAAATAGAAATGTAGGACTTAAAAAAATGAACAAATTTAATTTTTAAATTACGATTTGGTTTGTAAATCATTATTTTCCAAAACAAATTACAAATAAAAACATTGTAACAAATGTTTTGTTAAAATTAACAAATTAATTTGTTAAACAAAATCAACAAAATTCAATTTAAAGCAGTTTTCTCATTAAAAATAACGCAATAAATTAATGGGAATCGTTTGAAATTAATCAAACAAGAGTTTTGAATACAAAAATTAAAATTTAATTAAATCAATTATTAACAAATAAATTTGTTGATTTAACAAACTCAATTGTAAAATTTTTAACAAATAGTTTGGTTGAAATTTTTTTTACCCATGTAAACTTAACCAATAATTTGTTAAACTAGTTTAACAAACATATAACAAATATTATGGTTACTTTTTTTCTATGAGTGTGCTAAAATGGAAGATGTAAATCATGCGTAAAAGAAATAATAAGAATGAATAGAAAAGGAAGCTTCTGTGTCGTCCCTTCTCAGTGCTTTTAATAAAGACACCGTCGAGGATAAAGTCAACTTCAAAAGGAAAAGAGGAACAACAATAACAATGAGGGACAGCTCATTTTGCTTAATATTTGAAGAATTAAATTTACTTAATTAAGAAGCGCTGATTTCGTCAACAATTTTAATAGAGAAAATGTGTCAGAAATGAATGACTGACACTAAAGTCAAATTTAATGAGTCCGTAAAGAATTTTGGGACTTGTTTGACTTTATGAACTTTGTCTTTTGATGAGATGATTTATATTTTAAGGAAATGCTAAGGATTGTGGGTTGGCTTTTGACAGTCTTGATTTTTCGAGGTATTTTGCCAATCGAAAATTATTATTTTGAGGGCTGATTTATTGGGAATATATTTTATGTAGGTTGATATTGAAGATTTGAAGCTTCAATCAGCTATAGTCGAAGCACAAAAGCTGGCGGAAGCTTTGAAAAATTCAAATCTTAACAAAAAATTTAATTTCTTGAAAATATTTAAAAGAAATGTTCCAAAAATGGAACACAGCACTTAAACCATCTCTTTACGTCACTTTGAGTTATCGCAAAGAATTTTCATTCAAGAATTTCAACAAAAAAAAATTCTTTTTCTCAAGTAAAAACCCCAAAAAACACACCCACGCGTGTAAATTCTTCACTCGAGCATGCACGGTTGTAATTTTTTGTTGTTCATCCTTTTCGTTGTGACTCAAATTGTCACTCTATCTCATGAGGAATCATATAATATGACACATACATATGTTGAATTGTAAAAAATAAATACACTACAGTATCAAATAGCAAAAGCATTTCCCTAACTGAATTTATTTCGTTTTGAAGCAGAACGAAAATATAAAAAAATCAATTTTTATGAGTTTTTCCTGTGAAAATAAGTTTTACTGAGGTGGTAACTTTTGAGATTTTTTGGGGTAGATTGGTACTTGAATTTTTATGAAGACCTTGAAGTTAAAGAGTATTTTTGCTTAAAAGTCTGACCAGTGCACTACATCAAATCTCATTTTTTACTGTCAAGTAGCTTTCTATATACCTTCAAGTCTTTTTGATAATAGAGGAGCAACATTGTGGGACACTGGAAGCTTCATAGTACCCCTCTGGAAGATAACAGTACCTAAGCCTAATCGCAAGAATTAATTGGCGTACAACTGTTGAACGGGAGGTGGAACAACATAACAAGAAGCTGCAGGAAATAGAAGCTTTTGTCCAGAATCGAGTGCGATAAAAAATGCTTTGTGGACGCCCTACGCTTCATAAAGGAGCAATAGGAACCCATCATCATCATCATCAAGCCTAATTGCATATCCACAATCCTCTTCCAAATTGATTAATATTCCTTTTTCCTTATTTTTATCTCCATGATCAAAACTTAATCTAATTCCTTTCCAATAACTTCATTAAGTTCCTTCTAAAGCTTGAATTTTCTCTCATCTTTCTTCTTCAAGTATTCAACCCAAACCCAACAAAAGCTTCCATCCCCATCCAGCTACCTCCCATGCATTCCATTTTAAAGCAGTCACAGTGTGAGAAAAAATAACACAACAGCAGTCGCATATCTGTACATATAACATAAAACTCTCTTCAGTCGGAAGCTTTTATTCAATTATTAATGGAAATGAGAAATATTTTCTTTATGCTCCTTTCTTCTATTAATGTGGGTGACTAAACCTTGTGTTAAGGATGTCATCGTTATCATATTTTTGAGGGTGTTTTTATATTGAAATGAAAATTCATGTCTTGTCCAAAAATGGTTGAGTAAATTTTATGTTAATGCTTTGAATGTCAAGTGTCAAATTGTTTTACACGTTCCGTTTCAGGGACATCCTTGGTCAGGCTTTAACAATTTTTTTTTCATTCAGAAACAGCAAAAAAATCTCCGCTTAATTCTCAAACATATGCACAACGACTCTTTCATAATTCTTGTGTACCATAAAAATTAATTCTACATCGCATGCAAACTTCTTTTCTCTAGCTTTTATATTTAGTCATCCAATTATGGTTTATACTTTTTTTATGTGAGTGTGTTTATATAAAT